ATTTGTTTGCTTTAGATTTTTGGGATTTGCTATTTGTTTGTAAATTTAGGCTTGAACATTTCGTTGGTTGAAACTAAGTTCTATATTTTGTTTGGACTTCAAAGAATGCTCAGCTCTACTATGGATGTAGTAAGCTAGCAGCAAATTTGCAAGTGCATAAGCATTTTTAACATGTACTGAGATTTTTCAAGGTGTTTTTTGGCAAAAGGAGGAAGAGGGAAGATGGAAATGGGTTGGGTTGGGTTTTGTTTTGGAATTCTTTTTTTAACTCAAAAACATGTTTTGGAAATACACGTGACATGCATTTTATGCTAATTAGGATATCAAAGCTGATTTAACATGATCTTTAACAGACGTTAGTTGTTATATCAACGAAAAGAGCTACAAAATTTTTTGGATGATGAATGCAATGCAAACAGAGGAAATTCAGTGAATAGTGTGAAAATTATTAAAATTTAGTGAACAGTTCGTGACAATAAATTAAGTGATTTTTGAAACAATTCACTCCCATTCTTCCTTTAGCAGGCTTTAACTAATTAACGAAAGAAAATGTCACAAAACCTAAATTCAACCATTATATAAATCCAAATTAATTGACTTAGGTCACCCAACACTTGGTGGGGCCCTTAAAATGAAGACAGCAAAAATTGGAATTTTCAATACATTTACATGACAATGACTACAGATAGATAGTACTAATTAGACAAGACTATAAAAATTAAGAAAAAAATAATAATATATAATTAATAGACCTAATTAATTGATAATGATGTGTGCCTGAGTTGCTGTCATGGCAAAGAACCACCACGTTTCACCGACTTCGAAAGTGATATTTTACTGTTTTTAAGCCTCGTATTTAAAAAAACATATTCTCCAAACTCAATCTTACTCGCGCATTCTCTTATAGAATAATTTTACGCGTAAATTCAAAATTTTTCTTATTTTTTAATTACACATTCTTTACAAAATCACTATTACAAAATATATTCCCCTACAAATCGGGCTCAAAGACGGCCTAAGTTAAATTCGTTAGCGAACTTAGCCACGAGGGCAAAATGGAGTGTGAGAACTGAGAAGAGGGCTATGGTTTTAATGATTTAGTTATATATTTATTGTTTAAATAATTTTTAGAAATTGCTTTCAAGAATGCTTTAAATAGTTATGGAGGCAAATAAACTAGATTACAATTAAAAGTGTTAAATAAGCATTGAAATCTCTTAGCAAACGTTATGTGTAGAAGAACTAAAAGAGGGACTATTATTATTGGAAACTTGATTATTTGTTATTAAAAAAAGAATATTGTTTTTTATAGTGAAAACTATTAGTAGACATAATGCAATGAATTCTAGTTGCAGACGTGTTATTGAATATTTGAATGGAACTGTCGATAACATTATTACTGATGATTATCGTTGAATATCCATCAGCGATTAATGACAATATTGGCAATGGTTCCTTTAGTTTTTTAATATTTTATCAGTAACTCGAGATATATTTTTTATTCTTTTATTTCATTTATATCATTACAAATATCTATCCTTGACGAAATTTTTCATCATTAATATTTAATTTTTATTTCTTTATTTATTGATGAAATTCCCTTTAATAAACTAAGTTTATTGAAATATTTATTTTTGTAATAATATTAACCGAAATCCGTTTATAATCGTAAAACATTTTTAATCTACTTTATCTTTGGCTTTGTTTAATGACGATTGTTACTAAGGGTGTGTTTGATTACATTTATTTTTCATTAAAAATATCAATTTTCCACCCAAATTCCTATTTGATGTGTTTGATTGCTAATTTTTTTCCATGGAAAATATTTTCCAACTTTTGAAAATATGCCTAATTTTTCTTGTTTTTAAGGAAAATATTTTCCTTGTGTGGATGTGGTTTTTATTTTCCACAAAAGAAGGAAAATATTTTCTTTTATAGGTGATATTTTTTTTACCAATCAAACACACTCTAAATTATATTTGCTGAGATGTATTTGTTAAATTATCAATAATGTAATCATCATTTCACTTTATCTTTATCTAACTAGATAGTTTAAAGGAGTTTTGACCTGAAGGCATCAATTATCGGCCACGGTCTCTTCGATCTTGGTTTAGAGCCTATTTGGAAGTAATTTTTCCTCTAAAAATTTAATTTTTTGACCGTTATTTCACTATTTCAGCCATCATATTTGACTTCTTCTCTCACAGGTGAACCCCACTTTTTTTCTGACGATCAAAAAATCAATTCTCAAAATCACTCTCAAACAAACTCTTAGTTTGATTTTATACATATGCCTTATGCAGTTGTAACTCATTGAGGTAAAATGAGATTAATAGAATAATTCTAAAATGCATTTTAGAATAGTGTTTTGTTAGAGAATGTGTGATTAAAAAGTAATGAAAAGTTTTATATTTACATATAAAATGATTTTATAAAAAAAAAAGATTATAAATAAATTTTGAAAAATGGGAGGCAAACATAGGGCCAACCTTTGAAGAATTTTGCTTAAGTACTTGAAAATGCTTGACAGATGGGGTGACATCCTCTCACATTACCGCGGGTCCCATTTGAATAAAAAATGTCGACCTTCTGTGTATGTGTGTATTCGATCAAGTCCTCTGTTATCGTTTCTGTTGTTGTAGTTTCGTCCATCGTTGACTCTCTCGGTCTGCACCAATCAGTTAAGCACCAAGGTTAGTTATGCCATTTCACCCTAAACCTTAACAGAAACGTCATCCTATTCCTACCAACAATGTCAGTAGTGGGACCCACAATTTTGTCTGACTCATGGTATTTACCCATAAAGCAATACTTAAAATGGATAAATCAGAGCCCAATCAAACATTAACAGCTAGATTAGAGAAAGATTGTGTACCAAGTTGGTTGTTTTTAAGGGTAAGTATAGCCCTTGTTTGGCCCCATCACATCTTATCAAATTAAATTAAATGTGCTCCCTGGAGCACAGTTCAACTGGTGGATCAATCAACATTGTCTTGCTTACAGCGGCAAGGTGGAGGTTCGAATCCTGGTGGGAACCTGCGGCCAGATTTATTTGGTATGGAGCAATCACTTTGGAGGAGGATCTTTTGTGCGCAGAAGTGTACAGACAGTGGGGGGAACCTGTGATCCAGTTGAGGCATAACCCGTGATTTACCCCCTCCAAGGTTCTAGAGGCAAGGGTCTTGGGGGTCCAAAATTTAGTCTAGTGTAAGTTGGGATACCTAGTTATCAAAAAAAAAAAAATTAAATTAAATTTCTCTCTCTTCTATATTCAACTACACAATTTTCAAAAAAATAATAATACACATAAATCGAAGACACTTCATTTTTTTACAACCATCAAAATTTTTTTTAAAAAATTAAAATTAATGGAGGCCAAACAGTATCATAATATTGGACTATACACACACACTTATAAACTTGCGTACGTCCATTCGTATTGTTCGAGACATTGTTCTCAATTTCGTGAATATAATGTGTATATTTGTAAATTAAAATTTTCTATATATAAGTATAATCACGAATCCTTATACTTAACTACCTTGCGGATAGCTTAATGTATAATCTCCTTTTAATTAAAAAAAAAAATGAAGGAAAATCTATGGATTGAACATTAGGTCCACCCATTAAGAGCTAACAACAAAGACATCTTTTGCGTTCCAAGATCACGAATAAATCATCGAACTTTGTTCAAAAAGTGGCATGTATTAATTATTCGTTCTTGATATTAATGGTAAATGAAGGACAATGTATCATTCTTTAAACTTAACATTCTTAATACTAAAGAGTTCACTATATTTAGGGTTGGACAAAACTCCCGAATCGAACCGACCGAATCGAATCGAACATGATGGTTCTTCTCAAGTTAAATACCCGAACGGGTATTTGAATTGAGAACCGACGGGTATGGTTCGATTCTCGATTCTAGGTCAAGACCCGAAAAATCGAATAAGAACCGAATCTTCGTAATTTTTTAATTAATTTAATTTAGTTCAAATCACAAAATATGATTTTCTTATTTCTAATTTTTAGTTCAAAATCAATTTAATTAAATTGACCTCAATTTTATCAAAATCTGTTATTCTACTGTAGTATCGTTTCTACTGGAGAAAATTGAATTAAAACTCTACAACATCTCTCTTAATTATTTTGAGCTCGCTATCTTTCTCTTTCTGTGATTTACTAATCAAATTTATGAAAAATTCAGCAAAAAGAGACGTGAAACACATAAAATTGAATTACCTTATTTTGTAAGAGCTAATATTGAACATATCATTAATTAAATTAACGTAACTTTGTATATATTAAAAAATTTAATTATAATACGGAACCGAACCGAATGGAACCGAACCCGAAAGGTTCCGTAATTAAATTTGGACCCGACGATTCCACTTATTAAATATCCGAAAATTTCGGATCAGTTCGGTTCTAATGTATTAGAATTGTAATGGTTGGAAAAGGACAATCAATGATTTTAAAACCAATGTTCTTAGGACTAAAAGATGGCACATTACATTGTCCATTTCTTTTAAATTCTATGTAATAATAATGATGGTTACTCAACTTTTATTGGAATAATGCTATTCATTTGTAGTTTAAATGAGCATCGGTCTAAGTTAACATCGACAAATATTTAAAAAGAAAAAAGCTTCAAGTACAGGATATCCTTACAGAATTCATAAAGATGCAAATGTGACGAAACTTAATTCATTAGTTTTTTGTGTTTTTTTCATTTTCTAATGATTTCAAGCCATGTGTTGTCTGTCAAAATTTTTTGTACTTATAACGTGATTGATCTAAAAATGCAATTAAACTCATTGAATAGTGACACTCGTTAACACATAATTCAATAATTATTTACACTCCAGATAATATTTTTTCCCTTGCACACGTACAGACGTAAATTCCTACATTAAATAAGTGGACAAATTTATATATTAAAAATTTACAACAATGAATTTTCATTAATATCTGTACCGAACATGGAAGGTGAAGAGAATCTAGAAATGCCCTTTATTTCTCATATCCTCGAAAACCCATAAATTAATTATAAGTAGAGAGATATAAGAGTGTGTGTGGAGAGATTCAAGAAAAGGCATGGAATAAAAGAGACCCGATGTTGACAAATTTCGTGTCACTGTTCTTAGAAGGTCGTTTGTTTTTGTAATAATTTCTTATCTCGGATCTCTCTCACTAGGAAACATTTTCCTTTCACAATCTCTCTAAAAGAACTTGCTTTTCTTTTTTTTTTTTTCCTTGGAGAGAGAGTGGCCCAGTAGATCGAGATATCCAATCTTTAGTTGAGTTTGATGAGGATCCAAGCTTCCTCAATGGAGTTACCAAACCTTTTACTTTATTGTTTCTTTTTCTGTATTTGATATTAATAATTACTTTTGCTCTTTTTGCTTTTTATTATTATTATTATTATTATTTTTGGCTTTCCTCAGTTCTATATGTAGAAAAAACTCTGAATTTCCAATGATTCTGATAAGGGTTCTTGAGGGGGTGTGATTCCAGACGTGCGTCCAAGGTAATTAATTTTTTCTTCGCTCTCTTGTTTTTTAGATTTATGGTTTTGCTTGAATTTTACTTATAATTAATTGAATTATAATTTTTTTTAATGGCTGAGTTTTTCAGATTATGAGTTTTATTGGCATGGATAATTGGATTTGTGCATTTGCTTTACCAGATTATGGGTTTTTGTTTATTAGTTGATATGTGCTGATGGATGGTTGGATTAAATCAGTGATATTTTTATGTAGGATCCACTTAACTTTTGTTTCTCTGAATCTAGTCTTGTAGTGGAAAGTGATTGCAGTTTTTGTAGCTTATAAAGTGTTTTAAGTGATTAATTGAGATTGCTTATTTTGTCTTGATGTTGTTGGCTTGTAATTCTTGTTCCTTAGGTTTCTCTTGCTGGTAAATTGCTCATGTAGCATATTTTAAATTCTTGATGTTATGTTTTAGTCTAATTGCTCTGACTTTGATTAGGTTTCAGAAATACAATTCTTTCTTGAAACATGCTACATTTGGACGCATAAGTTATAATTATTATGCGATCCATGCAGCAGTAGGTACTCTTGTTACATTTTGAGAGCGTCCTTTTAGCACATCTTATTTCCAATCTCGATCAAGCTGTTCTTTTTGATGCGTGCCCAAGTCGAGAGTTATGTTGCTTTTTCTGAATCACTTTTTTAGGTTGAATTGTGTACTAATCAGCATGAGCGAGACGGATAGTATGGATGTCCTTGCTACTTTAATTTGATTCTATTTTTATGATTCAAAATAATGACAACCGCAAAATGGAATATGTACGTCATAGGTTCATTAAGTACTTTTGTTGCATTATGTCATAGTAGAAAATCGGACAAGTGTTGGCTTACTTCTCCTTTGAGGTAGATTTCAAGAAAAAACGTTTGCGTCACATGGTTCTATTAGATACACGTCGTACATTTTGGTGACTTTTGGCATCCAACATCCAACTGTTGTCAAAAAAATTGATTATTCCAGCATTCAGGCCAGATTTTCGAACTATGATCTGACTGCAAGTTACTTGTCTTATTCACTTTCGTGGTATAACATTCAATGTTTTATTAAGTGCTTGACGAATGTTATTGTCCTGATTATCTCCGCAACACAATATTCAATTGGATTTTAGTGAACCAATTCTTAATGCATTATGAATTGGATTTGAATGTGTTGTTGATACTGATGCTGATTTTGGTATTTAATTTTTTTTCCACCTTTAATGTTTACTTATCCGAACATTCTTTGCAGGGATGGGAACAAAATTGCATTGTGAAAGCTACTTAACTGGGTATTACTCCATGAGGAACCCTAATGAAGACTCTAGCTTTACTAGCTGGCCCCTATTTTATGGAGATAAAAGCTTAACAAATGGGCAATGTTACAATGGGTTCACACCAAGGATTATGAAGGATGTATATTCCGGGTATGATAAGAACGCTTTAAGACAGAGAATACTTGAACATGAGACGATTTTCAAGAATCAGGTACTTTTTCATCTAGTTATTCTCATTCTGTATGGTGCTCCAATGGTCTGGTGATGTTTCAGAAGGCTGACTATATGAATATATTAATGTTGTCCAGGTTAATGAACTCCACCGTCTTTATGGAATTCAAAGGGACATGATGGAAGAAATCAAAATGAAGGAACTGCAAAAACATTGGGCATCAGTCGAACCATCGTCGTCGTCAAGTCGACAAGTATCTCAAATGCCATTGGATGATGCTAAAAAATGGCATAAAATGGGCTTTCCATTGTTAAATTCTGGTTATGATAGAACATCCATGTCGGGAGTCGAAATTGTTAATTCTCCTTCGAGTTGTTCAAAAGGGTACAACATGCAGGCTGGTCATAGCCCTTTGCAAAATGGGTGTACTTCGAAGGACTCTGAAGCATTGAACTTGAGACCCTCCAAGGTAAGGAAGAAGTTGTTTGATCTTCAACTTCCAGCTGATGAGTACATTGATACTGAAGAAGGGGAAAAGTTACAAGACAACAAAAAATCCGGCATTTTGAGTTACACTTTGAATGGAGATCAAAAAAGTATACCTGAAAGAGGCATGGAGTTTTACCTTGGTGCCTCTGGTAGTGGAAAGACTCGTTGCCAGAAAGATGCTTTGGGTTCAGGTTCCTGTTTGAGGAGCTCTTCTGGTTTGGCTGATCTAAATGAACCTGTTCATGTTGATGAAGCAACAGCTCCATCATCAGCTGATTTGTTTGGTCATACTTCCAACCATGGAGAGACTATACTAATAAATCAGTCTGCCAAAACAAATGCAGGATTTCCTTTGTTGAATATATTTGGTGAGAGTAAAATCAATGAAAGGGGGTTGCTCTCCCATATAAATGAAGCAGGTAATTAGATTTAATGAATTTCCGTATTATCCAAGTACTTCTTTTTTAATGTTTTTTTATTTCTGGCGTGAGCTTATGTCCATTAAATCTTATGCTTTTATTTATTCTGGTCATTTCTTTAGCATTGCCATACGAATAAAGGAAATTGAAGAACTTTATGCATCCGATATCAAATTTTTTAAAAATTTTACCACTCCTAAATTTTCTAGGAATTTCATCATTAATATCTGTTGAATATCCATAGAATTTTACATCATCCTTGTTTGTAAAGTTGATTCTCTCTGTTGAAATCTTGTTTTATTCCCTACTTCCCTGAGAGAATAATCGTGAAATGACTATTGACTTTTATTTATTTCGCACGAACTTTTCCTGGGTACTGACAATATTGAACTTCCCAAACGTTGTACAGGGCCCAGTAAAGGCAACCCGAATTTGATATCTCAAAATCTAAAACAAGACAAGGTTCCTATACTTTCTCATCCTTCAGAAGTCCTGCTTAACAGGGCTCATCATCCTCCTGGAATAAATCCAACTGGACATAGTGGGGAAGATATATGGCGAAATGAGTTGATCCATGGTTTAAAATCCTCGGATAGAAATCAATATCACTCCAATTATGGCCATTTGGAACCTGTTGTGGCTTCTCGTATCCCCGGTCCACACCCATTCGTTCGCTCCTCCAGTTTTGCCAATTCACTGTCTGAGTCTGTCTCATCTTGGGCAAAGCCAACAAGTAGCCTTGGTCAAAAGATAACCATGTCGAGTAGGAGTATGCAGCCATCTGTTCAGAGTCGGGAAGCTTTTGGAGACAAGTGGAATGTTAGCTCTCGGTTGAATCCAGGTTCAGGAAGTGATATAACAATTCGTAATGGGTTCTACCATGGGCCTGCCTTAGGTTCCAAAGAACCAGTTCATTTACCTTCATCTGACTCCAATTTTCTGAAGTGCAGTAGGGGTGTTAATCTTGCATCTGAACGCTCGATTAACCCTGGATTTGAGAAGTTTCTCAAGGGCACCAATCATTTGAGCTTGAATGGAGTAATGACAAATAGTTTGCCAAACAAGGCTGTTCCTCTGAAAGATCTCAGCATGGTGGATAGAAATAGTGCTCCCAAAGACCACCCGTTGTCGTTTCCTTGGCTTGGACATAAACCCGGTTACGAAAATGAGGCCGCCAAAAGTAGGAAATCGGAACTCTCCGAAATCTTTGGCTCCCTTCAAGCTTCTTTTAATTCAGGTCTAAGAGATCTTAATCAAGTGTTTACTTCAAATGTCTCGCTGGCTTCAAATGATTGTGAGATCGGGGCTAACGGGGAGATGGGTGAGACTAAGAAGAATCAGAAAATTCTTGGGTTTCCAACTTTTGAAATCCCCAATGCCCCTAAAAATGAGTCATCGTCCCTTGTTTCTGAAGGAAGGAATGTTGAAAATGAAAAGAAAAATATATTAATCGATATCAATCTCGCTTGTGAATCCGAGGAGCATATAGCTGCAGAAGAACTGATTGTCGAGAACAAACTGCATTCCAAAGGCATCAGTATCAGGAGACAAATTGATTTGAACACTTGTATCAGCGAGGATGAAGATCCATCCGCACCCTCTGTTGCAAGCAACAGTGCCAGTGTGAAGATCGTCCTAGAGATAGATTTGGAAGCCCCGGTTCTTCCTGAGATGGAGGATGATATTATACCTGGCAAAGAAGATGAACAGAATCAGGCATCTTTGCAATGTAATGAAGATAAAGCTGAACAGGTACAGGATGAAGTTTTAAGGAATGCGGCAAAAACAATATTTGCCATCTCATCATCTTGTCAGCAAATTCAAAGTGAGGATTTAATTTGCGACCCGTCTGAAACTTCTTTGACAGAATCGATCCTCTGGTTTGCCAATGTTGTCTCGTCGTGTGCAAATGAACTGAAAGGAAAATGTTATGCACCTATTCAAGATCTTTCCAAGGAGATGGACGATTTTGAGGCCATGGCATTGCAACTAACGGAGACCAAGGAACAAGATTACATGCCTAAGCCATTTGTTCCCGAAGTCGCTAAAGGGGAAGAAATGGGAACCACTTCATTTCCAAGTAGATCCCGGAGGGGCCAGGCGAGGAGAGGAAGGCAGCGGAGGGACTTTCAAAGGGATATCCTTCCCAGTTTGGCATCGTTGTCCAGGCATGAAGTCACTGAAGATATTCAGATATTTGGAGCGCTGATGAGAGCCAGTGGCCATTCTTGGAATTCGGGATTGACTAGAAGAAATGGCACGAGAAATGGTGGAGCTCGAGAAAGGCGATGTAAACTCGTTGACACTCCGTCTGCACCTGTTGAAAGTCCGGTTTGCACTGCGCTGGTGCAGAAACTTAACAATGCCAATGCTGGTTTGGAGGACATAAGCCTAACGGGGTGGGGAAAGACAACTAGACGCCCCCGGAGACAAAGATGCCCTGCAGGTAATCCTCCGATCGTCCCGTTAACCTAGTAAGGAAAAGAGGCTAAAATTTATCGATTTGCAAATTTATAGAGGGAAGCAAGACATTAGGAAACATGTTTAATGATTTTCAGGAATGAGTTGATTGTTATCTGTCATTATCGCCTTTGTAAATGTCAATGTACCTCATATTTTGTGACTTGGTATTATATAGAAATAATGTTGTCTCATTTCTTCTGAATACACTTGACATTCCTTTGAATATCTTCCTTGAGATCAATTATGTTAGATAGAGCAATTTTTATGTCACGTAACCTCTGAAAGAAGACTCTGGAAATTCTCTATTTTCACGTAAAAAAAATTAGGGTGTGTTTGTAAGCACTTGAGTGAATTCAACTCTTTTACCATTCAAGGCTCGAACTCAGTACTCAACATTATTGAAGCCTTGACAAAATTTGTCGGTTATCATGTGAGTTTTTGTCTAGTCGAGTTCAGCGTACCAACATTCCAAAATTGCATGTGATTTTATTTTTTTATATTTTTTTTATTATTATTTTTTAAACATCTTTGAATTGCATATATGAATTTGCATTAAATCTAAAATTTACAATATTTTTACTCAAATTGCATATAATAGAATTGCATTAACCCAAAATGTACAATATTTTTACTGAAATTCCATGCCCAAAGACTGAAGAGGAATTTAATCTTATCTGAAAGTAGCTATGCATGTTTGGCTAAGCTTAAAAAACTTAGTCATAAGTTATTTTGAAAGTAAATCTTATTTATTTATTATTTGAACACAAGACCCGACAAAGCTTTCATTAAACTAAGGGGGGGGGGGGGGGGGGGGGGAAGGAGAGAGAAAAATTGAGGGTGGAAGGGAAAATGAAATTCACCTTTACTACTATTTACCCAAATAATAAATCAACTTAATTAAAGCATATTGATATGTCCAATTAGAGACTAAATTTTCAGTGGGGTGCCCGCACCATCCACGTGGTGCGCCCGTCCAATATCGATGCACCACCTCGACAGGTGGCCACACACCTCGTGGATGTGTGATGGGGGGGGGGGGGGGGGGAGGAGAGAGAAAAATTGAGGGTGGAAGGGAAAATGAAATTCACCTTTACTACTATTTACCCAAATAATAAATCAACTTAATTAAAGCATATTGATATGTCCAATTAGAGACTAAATTTTCAGTGGGGTGCCCGCACCATCCACGTGGTGCGCCCGTCCAATATCGATGCACCACCTCGACAGGTGGCCACACACCTCGTGGATGTGTGATGGGCCACCCACCGAGGTGGCACACCCTGATAGTGGCGGTGCGATCGTCCCATTGAAGTTTTTCTCCCAATTAGAGGATCTTGAAGGATTTTAAGTCGACTTACAAATAAGCTCCAAAAAATTCTGAACCTTTTAAACTAGAGAAAGACTCTACTATTACCTTATAATGAATACATTTATTACGTTATGTATTTTAATACTCTACTTTTTAAATTATTCAAATCATATTTAAATTGATTGAGCAGTTATACATGAATAAATATTTTAAATAAAAAATGAGGAGAAATCAATAAATATATCTAGAAATATAAAATGAAGAGTCGAATTAGATAGCATTTGTATAAGAAATTATACTATCTAAATCTCAAGTTACTTTTTATAAATAAATATCTAAATTTTGAAAATGCATTTAATCACTGCGTTTGGTAGTAAAGTTAGAGGTGAAAATTTGCCTTGTCTTTTGTTTGTCCCCTTGACTTCAAAGATTATACATTTTCTTCTTTCTATCAAAAGGAACACTAATGTTGTGCTCTTTTCCTTAATTTAAGCATATAAAGTAATAAGCTCGTATCTGAAAAGTTATGAAATTCGTAAAATATATTGTTAGAATTAATTATTAACTTTGATTTAGATTAAAATCAATTTCTATATACACACACAATTAAATTATGTCATACTAATTTCATTAAAATATTAATTTTAGCAAGTTTGTTGGATAAATATTGCCCTTGTTTGAGCCTCATTCTTTTAAAAAAAATGCATTTTTCAACAGTATTTTGACATCATTTCAATTACACATTCTTCAATAAATTAATATTAAACGTAAATTCAAAAAATTTCCTCATCTTTTAACCACTCATTTTCTATCAATATACTATTCAAAAATTCATTCTTTACCCAAAAATGGGGCTTAAACAAGGGCATTATGAGAGAAAAATAAGATATACAATAAATAATTGAAGTTTATTTAAGCCAACGACTTGAATTTGGATTTTTTTTTAATTAACGAGTCATTTGCAGCTCGACTCAATGAGTCGCGTCCAGCTTGCACGTTGAGCTGAGTCAACTCGGAGTTGGGCAATCTTAACCGTTCGACTCCATTCATTGCCATGGCTACGGATTCTGAATTTTCGTCGTTAAAACTCAATTTTGAGAGCTTTTAGACTAATTTCACAAAGATGAGAGAGAGAGAGAGGGGATGTCACTCGTAATTTTCGAGTTAGGTAAAAGAATTGTAAAAATGGCGGAAGTCCTTGTCACGACAAAACCCAAACAAATGCAATGAGATATAAATATTGTTATGCCCCGATTATATACGCCTCGGATACCGAAGTGTCATTTCACCTCCGAGACCGAGATCAAGTGGACCCCCCGCAGCACCATTTATTCTGACCTGAAAACGACCCTTCCGAAGCTTCTCCGAAGTGATATAGCGATTCCTACTACTGATCTGCCGAAACATCTCACCTCCGAGGTCGAGATCAAGTGGACCCCGGTTAGAAGATCCGTCGCCAATTTGAGATTTGTCCTACACCTAAGGCTTAAATTGATTTGATGTCTCCATGAGGTTAGTTGATGTGACTTATCAACTTTACGTCAATTCAGCTCAAAGGAAACAAACTGTCCGCCCACTTTACAAACGCGGCTGACTGACGCCTATGAGCAGACACTTCATACCGTCAGATGTATACACGCGTTCCACATCCAACGGTTCATACCACCTATAAATACCCAAGGTTTGACAAGAGGCAAAGATAATGAAACTCTTAAAACACAGCACTCCATAACAAGTTTATATATTTTCCTCCCCCTTTATTGATTGATTTGTGTAGACACTGGGTACTGTTCCGACCACCCAAACCTGATTTGACCGTCGGAGTGTATACGGTCGCCACCACCCCCGTTGGGTCTAACCGTGTGCGCCTGACTATTTGTTGATTGCGTAGGGAGGAATACGTGGAGTAGCTTTCAGTTGGCCACGTGGAGGGACCAATTTTCGAGGTCAACAGATTGGCACTGTCTGCGGGAATCACTCCCCATTTGAAGGTTTGCGTTCTCCATCGGAGAAGATACCGAAAAATCGGCGACTAACCCTGAAAAGGGGACATTCTTGAAAAAGAACAAAGTCGAGTTACAATCCAAGTTCTTACTACCCTTGAAAAAAGAGGTAGGATGAGCTACAGCCATGAAGATGACAATCCCATGAGAGAGGCCTCTGAAGAAGAGGTACTCCATAACAATGTTACTCCTCAGAAACCGCATCACCGGCGTCGCCGAGGCGGGGGAACAGCCATACTCACTGAAGGCATGGCTCAGATAGCTGTGGGTATGAGAGACATAGCAGCTCAGAATATGGCGATGCGGGAACTCCTCATGCAAGCCCAGGGACACCAGAGCTATCAAAGGCCCCAAGGATCTTATCCGGTGCAGGAAATCCCTTTATCTCACTCTCGGGGCCACATGAGCCGGCACACAGAATGCCCCCTCGAAAGAGAGATGAACACTGAAGCAACATCTTATGTGCAAGGGAGTCATCCATCAGAACCACCATTGGGGGACAACTTTCCTCAAGAACACGACGACCAAAGGTCGGTAAGCGTCTTCGACCGGATAGGGGAGGATCCTAGCAATATGGTCCGCCTAGCAAGAGGATTAGTTCGTCTGGGTCGCGAACAAGAGCATGTTCCCCCTCCTCCTCCTAGAAATAGGAGGGAGAGGAGAAACCTAGTCGATTGAGGGAGTCGAGGAGAAGCACCTCCACCACCCCAGGACATCCAAGATGATGAAGGGTCAGAGGGGCCCTGTCGATCTTATGAGATTGACGACGATGACAATAACCTCCCTTTCTCAAGGGAGATTCGAAGCTTCCCAATGCCAGCTAACTTCATGCCCCCTAAGATCCCCAAGTATGAGGGAAAGGGGGATCCGAAGAAGCACCTCACAAAGTATATGACACAAATGAGCCTTAGGGGAGCCTCGCTTGCTCTAAAATGCAGAGCCTTCCATTTAAGACTAGGCGGAGCCGTCGAGGTATGGTATAGCAGGCTTCCCCCCCTAAGCATCAGAAGTTGGCCAGACTTGAAGAAAGCATTTTTGTACCAGTACCTCTCACGCAGGGAATGAGAGGCTCCAATTCAACGCCTGCAAGACATGAGGCAGGCCCTTGGAGAGACGCTAAAAAGCCATCTCGCCAGGTTTACAGACGAAATTACTTACTGCAAACAGGTCACTGACAGGGAAGCCCTTTCAGCCTTGAAAGGTGGGCTCAACATGAACACTTTGTTTTGGAGGGACGTGCGGAGCAAGAATCCCTCCACATACGATGAGCTGGTGGAAATGATGAGAGTGGAAATTGTTAGTGAAGAAATGATTGATCATCGCAATCGTGCCGCACAGGGACTCCCTCCTCCACAGAGGCAGGTAGGTCGAGGCCCCACAACACACCTTGTTACTCAGCAATGGACCCAAGCAGGGCATACCATAGCTCCCACATCCGGATAGGCCCTAGCTTCCGCCACATTGAATGCAGTGCCGGTGTTGGCATATGATAACGCCACTGCTGAGGCGAGACCATCTGGAAGAACTGATAACAATAAGAAGAAGAAAAAGAGGCCAAACAGACCTTTGACAGGAGCAAGGTTTTTTACATTCCATCAACTATACGGACATGACACCAGCGAGTGTCGTGATGCCAATCGACGCCCTGATCGAAGCAACCCTCACACTTCCAGCAGAAACGAACACCCTCGCAGATCCACCTCCCCGAAGAGGGGAGGGAGAGGTCACCAGGAACAATCTCCTCGTAGAAGAGAATCGAGAAACCGAGGCCAATCCAGGCAGGGGAACCAAGCCCAATTTTCGTGAGGCCAGGTCATCAGGGAAATCGATACCATCATTGGGGGACCCCACGTCGGTGGCAACACCAGGAATGCCCAGAGAAATTATACAAG